ATGGCAACATAATGCAAAGCATTCGTTTAGTAACACAGAGCAGTCTAGCTAAAGGCCATTGCAGCCACACAAGGATTCATTTTTGTGGAGAAGAAAGAAAGGGAAAATGTCCACAGATCCCAGACCCTTCTTTATTGGGAAGAATGTCTTTTAAATGAAGTCAAGCAGTATTTTGTTTTATCATTCATTTATTTAGCAAAGAAAGGAATGAATTCAAATACCCCACACAATGAACACATATTATTCCCTGATATCAAGATGCAGATTTGCTTGCAAACAATGTTAAATGAATCTGTTTTCTTACTATTGAAGTCATCTTGTACTGTGCATGAATTTGTGCAGAAGCAATATATTTTGGGCTCAATTCTGTAAACACATTAAAATAAGTAACTACATCCACACCACTGATCTTGGTGTGGTTACTTACATGATGAGTAAAATGATACTCATGAGCCTAGGTTTTGCCAACCTAAATTTAGGCATTCAAATGACACTGAAAATTAGAAGTGTACCTCTCTAGGCTCACTGCAGTGTTGGTGGAGAGACACAAGCCCTTGCCAGTATGTAACTGCCTAAGGATGTTTTTCCGGATGAGACATAGAGGGTGCTGGTGGCAGCTACAATCAGAAATTGGCCAGATGCCTCAAGCACAGCAAGATAAGCTTGGACCAAACTGTTTACAGAATTGATCTCATACAGCAAAGCCATTATGCATACAATTAACATTAGGAATGTGCTCATGTTGTGCTGATTTTAATAAAACTGGTCCCACATTTAAAGAAGTGAATATATTCATTCTATAATTATGAGAAAAAATATTGAAGCATTTAATCCTATTAACATTTTACTTGCATCTGGGACCTCTTACTTTCTTTTCTGGTTTGAACAGCCACGGGGTCTGATGCTCTGAGAACTTCCTTCACTAACATAAGTGCTTGAGTAGCTCTTGATTCGTACATTGCCATGGTATTTTCCCAGAGGTTGCTGTGGAGCTCTGGTAGAGCTAACTAAATGCACAGTGTCCTGCACCTATTTGAGACTTTAATCAGTACTGTTTAATAGCCTGGAAATCAAGTCATTTAAGCCCCATTCTTTCTTCCACTCTCTTATGAAAATCCTAATCCTAGTCAAAAATCTCTTGATTAGTTTTAGCCAAACCACACTGCTTTAGCAGCAGGTGACGGCAAACAGCTGGAGAAGCTTCCACATAAAGTAACTTTAAAAGACCATAAAGATCATCAGACTCAAATCAAGTCCAAGATACATCTGCAAGCACAGGAGTCCACTTTTTAAGCAATGAGGAACATACTCTATGTATCTGACATAAAAATAAGTCCAAAATGTGTACTCAAGTGTGATTCTACTTTGAGTTAGCCAATGAAAGTATATACCATGCAGGATGTGACTGGCAATCCTGCTTACTCCTCCCTCCATGTAGCAGGGCTACATGGAAACAGCTTTACTCAGAGAATTTTGATTTATCTGCCAAAATGTTTGCATTCAAAATAGAGAAGCATTTTAATATTTATGCAATCAGTGCAAAAGTGGTTTAGTAATATTAACTATTGTCATCAGAGGTAATATAATTATTTATCTAGAAAAGATCACTTTATCCAAGCAAAAGGATAAAGGCTATTTAAGCATGGCAATATATGGGCAAGGGAATTGGTTTTCCCTTTCCAAGAACAGAACAATGCTTTAAGAGCCAAATTCTACCCTTGTGCAAAACTGAGAGCTGTATAGGCTTAAACAAGATTTGCAGGCAAATGCCCACTTGTTACATTTTTGACAGAAAAACAAAAATATGACTTTCATGGAGAAATGGACATGCTTTAGTAGGGGAATTGGCAGTGCTAGGTTAATTGCTGGACTTGATCTTAGGTGTCTCTTTCAGCCTAAATGATTCTATGATTCTATGAAATCTGCTTTCCACCAAAATATGTGTAGCCTATTTTAGAAAAAATAAGCTGAAAATTAATAGACACTGTATTGTGCTTCACCCCATTATTAGGAAAAGCTGTATTAAACTGCATGGGCAGCTACGTAGAACTTAAAAAGTAAAAATACTGATACAGGCAGTGCATCTGGGTTCCTGTAAATTATCTAAGACAGAAATATATAACAACTTTAAAACCTGTTGTCTCACAATATAACTTGACAAGAAGATCTTGCCATCAATTTTTTCTCATTGAAGTGCTGCGAAATTTCCATGTTTACACTGCTGCTTCAGATAGAGCTTTGAATATAACTGTGCCTGTGATTTAGAACAATGTAATTGAGGAAGCTCAGTGACAAAAAAAAAAAAAAAAAAGTTTAAAAGTAACACTTTCCTGACAACTTGGCATGGCGTTTCAATGACATCACATGGGAGTTGCTCAAAGATATGGAACACCTGAAATACTCCTTTGGGAGATGGAAGTGTGAGCAGACTGAGCACCTGCTAAATGCACTTCTACCTAGGATCAAGCAGACTTAACTTAGGGCATTATTACCACATATATAACATGTATCTAACATATGTAACTATCCATGAAAAGAATGGAAAATAGATCATCGTAAAGATAGGCATGACTCAAACTACTGAAGAGTTAGGAAAAAAGCTAATTTCAGTAATTTTAATTAAAAAAGATTAAAATACATAGTTCAAATATTTTAAAGATATTGGTCTCATAACTAATAGTCTAAATATAAAATCCATAAGCTGGACTAATGTGCTCTTAGTACAGGGGCAGAAAGGAACAGCTTTGCACATATGTGTGTATGTACACATGCTGCTTTTTCTTGGCAGTAGCAGCAATATAGATTTTTATCTTATTCAAATATAAAATGTTATCTTTTGGCATGAACACAGTGATTCAAATACCAGACTGGTTATGATTTGGAGAGCTTTTCCACCTCTATCTCTTGCAGAGAAAAGAGTCTCCTACCCAGGGCAATCAGCTGATTTCTTCCTGGAAAACCAAATCTAATGTAGCGTAAAAAAATCACAAATTATAGAGAACCAGCATTATTATACTTTTTGGAGATGAACTAGTATGAAGGTGAGGTCCTTTCATTTGACTGTTTGAGAACTATTCAGCTGGAAAAAACAGGTGGCTGATCTTAATTATTTTTATAGACGGTAAATGTGCGTTCATTTTACTGCATAGCTTTTTAAAGACCACTTATTCTGAATTTTTTCATTTTTCTGCAGAACGGGGATTGGAAACATAGTGCTACATTCAGATCTATCCCCATTCAAAAATGCCACCAGTAGATATGGTGTTTACCCTTGCTATGTAAGTAGTTGGACCACCAAAGTGGTGCTCCAGTGCAGTCTCACATGATCAATGTTTCTTGGTACCTTTTGCCTTTCTTTTAATATAGTTGTGAAGCGTTATAATCTGTACATGTTTTTCTTTATTTGCCTATCATAACCAATCCAAATTATTACGGACTTCAAACACAGAACGGGAACATTTCCACTCTGCTACTTGCACACCTTCCTAGTATTCTAGTGTGATGATCTTTGCTTTTAGCATGCTTAAGAAAGCTCAATTCATCAATCCCTAATATTCACTTTTAATTTCTTCTCACAAGCTTTAAAGAATAGCAAACACTGCCTTACTACTATGTACTCTGGAAAATCTGGCCCAAATCCCTGCCCTTTTCTTTTTAGTTATACATCTGGAATTTCAGATACAAAAATAACAATGTCATGAATGTGGGTGAAGACTGACAGAACAAACTAAAATGGTATAAAACTTTGTGTTTCCTCATCTGCTACTACAAAAGGAATTAAAATCGATAACTTAAAACTCAAACAGCATATTAAATATTTACATCAATGAAGTCCAACAGGATCACTTAAAACCCCTTAAGAATGTTCCTCTAGGGGCTGACGCGGGTCAAGATGAGACAACACTTTGCAAATATAGCTACGTTTTCTGAGCCAGCTTTGTTTGTTGGACATGTGCATATAAAGGAAAAGCTGGAAAGAAAAAAGCAGATCTATGATTATGCCTACATACCCCCAAGAGTCAGAGACAGCACACAAAATGTGGTACAGTCATATCTTTCTGTGATCAGCCTGATGGTGAGTGCTGCAGCAGAGACAAGGGTGTTCCCATAAACATGCACTAGGGAGAGAAAGTCAGTGGAAATCCTCATGCTGCAGCAAGGCTGGTTACCTACACACAGAAAAACCTTCCAGTGTGCCTCTCCTGCTGCCCTTCTCCCTCAGTCTCCCTGTGAGACGTGCCCTTCCACATTTTCCCCAAAATTAAACCAAACGAGGTGAAGGCTTTATGTGACTGGGCTCGGCTCACAACTGGAAACCACTGACCCTTTAGGTGTCTGGGTTAATTACAAGATTGTATCCCTCGGTACAGCTTTAGTCTCTGCACTCTGAACAGCTGAACTGCAGCCAAAGTGATTTACAGCCCAGGAAGATCAGCCTACAGAGCCCAGAGCTGCCATAGAGGATCACTAAACCACCACCTTTCTTCTTATCATTGTTCTCAGCACCCTGTGGGCTCTTCTTGGCAGTGTGAGCTTCAGGAGACTGCACAGAGGTCTAACAGCAAAGCTCCCTTTTTAAACCCCATGGAAGTAAAAGACAATGCCTAAAAATAAAATTAGATTTGTACTCCTGGCACAGGTTGAAGGGGTAACATTATTATTTCTTTTTAAAGCTCAGGAATTACTAAGTCACTTGTTAGAGACATCTGACTGGAAATTTATGAAACTGAGCGAAGCGATGCAATCCTCAAGAGTGGTCCAGCAACACCGAGAGGCTACAGCTGCCCCTGACACTGAAGGCCAACCTTTCACTCTGCAAAGAAAATATCATGTCACAAACAGGTGGTTTGGGCTTTTGGCAGCAATGGGACATTGATGGCTTGGATTGTGCTTGAAATGTCTCTGAACTTCATCTCTGAAGCCTCAATCACATGAGCAGCCAAGTAGCACAGGCCTTGGGGACTGGGGAGTTACAGGAGGCCAGAAAATACACAAGCCCATTAGTACTCATCATAATTATTGAAATCTGTAAAATAGGTATTAGAATAAGTCTTTGCAGTAAGATGTGGATTGAAGTATTTGTTTCTCTCTTCCAGAATCAGGTTGTTTTTGTTAAATGCCTGGAAAAAAAAAAAAAGAAAATGATAAGAAAATGGAAAGGACAGAGGAAAGGTAACCACTAAGCAGTCTTACATCAAGGCAATTTTTGTGGCAAATATCTGTGTACAGGAAGCCAGTGAAACTGCATTGAGAAATACCTGCACAAAAACTTACATTTGCAGAAGTATCTTCTTACGTAATAACATTCCTACAGAAAGCAATTCTACTCAATAAAGTAAAGCCAGGCACTTTCTCCCCAATATTATAGAATCAATTTTATAATTCCATGAATATTTCTTAATCATATATATGCAGTTCTTCCTATTAGAATGATTCACTTATTATCTTCTTGCTGAATAGTATTTCTTTTCTCTTTACTGCATTAATTCCCTAATTTTCAAATGCAGTATGTTGGAGAAATGTCTGAAGGTCTTAAGAGCATAAATCCTGTTTTTCTTAAAAAGTAATATGAGTATTTAGAGTATGAATTTTCAAAGGGTTTGTTGGGTTTGTTTTTGTTTTTTTTTGTTCTGTAGCTATCTTGAGAGATGATTAGTGGAATTTTGAAAAGCTTTAACTTAGGTTCATATTCCACCACTGACTAGAAAATACAGTCTTTTCTTGCTCTTTTTCATGAATTTCTTTTAAATGTCTTTAATTAGAAATAAAAATGCAGAAATTAAAAACTTGATTACCAGGTAGGATTTAAGAAAAATCCTCATTTGCAAAAAGCTTTTCAGCTGCATGAATAAACTATGTAATCTGAAAATACTGAACTAGGTATATCCAGAATGCTCATCCTTCCTTAATTCGGTGGATCTGAAAAGCAGAGCTATTCTAAAAGGTCTCAAAAGAGAACAGATGTTTGGGAATAATGATCAAAAGATATGTATGAACACTAGCTGATAGTCTGACCTAGAATATATTCACAAGATACATCTCCTGTATAAAGACAGAGTGCAGGAAGATTAACAGAGCCCTTGACACCAGATCATTGGAGCCAAAGGATTATCTTCAATATATGTCACAGTGATTGTTAATGGCCCTATTTACTTCTTGAACAAGCCACTATGGGACATATTTAAGAAAAAAACCCCACAAAACAAAATTTGAGTGGTCTGCTTTTTTCCAGGAAAGGTTGCTGTATACATTATACATACACACAAAATCTAACTTCCTGCATAACAGGGATTGACAAAGGAAAGGATCTGTAATTACAATACCTCAAGTGAAATCTATTTTTGTCACTAACGATCAGCATAATTTGAGGCCAAATGGCACTGCAGAAAACTTGCAAGTAGAATTCTTTTGATACAGCAGAACTGTTGTCTAGGACTACATACGTTGTACATTATAGGATGACCAACCCACTTCTCACCTTGATGGCTTCTACAGAGTCGTATTTGTCCAGTTTGTTGATGTGGTTGGTAATGCTGGTATTTAGAGGAGCTGGTGATACTGGATGGATGACAGTAGCATCATGGGACTGCTGCTGATATCGTTGGCAATAAGTGTAAACAAGCAGGGTAAGAAGGCAACCAAGTATTGAGCTACTTAATCCCACTGCAATCATGTGAAACATGTTGAACTCTGCACAGTGGAGAGAAGAAGATAATCTTTATTTTAAGGAAGCAGCAATAAAAGCTCAAGTTTGGGGGAAAGCGTAGACAAGTGCTTGATTCAAATAAGGATAAGGGAATTTTCGCATGTTTCCCTGAAACATCTCAAATGCAGTGGCTTATCCCTACTGTAGTAAATTCATTTTACTTCCCTGAAGGGATCATTATAAGAATCTTAGATATCCATACATCTCTGTAAGCATTAAGACTGAGATCTTTGAAAGATGCTTAAACAAGTTCAGAACCAAAATAAGAGAAAAATGAATTACATTCCTTATGTTTGAATAGTTCAGCAAAATTTTTCTTCAGACTGTACAACAAAGCCTTGTTATACATAAATTAGGTATATGCTTTCTTTTTTTCCCAGTGAACTACAGTATCACCTCCTCTACTGCCCTTCTAGTGCTTTCTCTTACACATACTGACTTGTGGCAGAGCTAACAAAATCCTGATGTCTTTGTGCTTTCCCTAAAATGTTTTCCACATCCCATTTATTGGATGCCTGTCCCAGAAGCAGCAGCATACATTTTTCCATCCCCTGCTTTGATTCTTTCTGCATATCACTGTTTCTGTATCTTTGAGACATGGCCAATTTGTTCCATTCTCCAGCTCCCAGATTTTTTCTTTATGTAAGGGGGGGAGAGAGGAAGAAATGGTAGCATTTAGGGGAAAATGGGAAGGGGGGAGATATGGACTCCTTGAAGCTCAGCATACTTTTAAACAGAGCAGCCAAAGAGTGCAAAGTCAACAACTCAGTGCCCAGCACTCTCCTGTCTGCTCTGCCTTTCAAAGATACTATGGGATCAGACGATGGGAAACCCTCTCTACCTATGCAAGGATTAAAACTGAGAGGAAGTTCATTGCTGCATGAAACTGTGGAATGGAATCTAAAGCACAATCATAGCCTGATGTTACTGAATGGAGATGCTAGGTCAGATATGGCACCAGTAGGATTAGCTCGAAATAAACAAATTACACTGCTTTCCATTGTTATTTCAAACTGGAGCTGTGCTTTATGATTAGGAAAGATATATCACTGAGAAGCTTATGTTGGAGATTTCACCTTAACATGACTCAAAATTTGTTTGTGGCTGCCTAAATGCACAAATGAAAGATTTTAAACTGAAATACTGGTGCTAGTCTGAAAAACATCTGTTAGACCTTTTTCACTGCAATTCAGAAAAATGGGCCCCAGTTTTTGTAAATGCCTAAGGTAGGACCTTTACATGCCTACTGGGTACTTAGAAACACAAGTATTTCAGTGGCTAGGTTCACTGCTTCAATATATAAATTATCATTGAAATATCCCTCTACACATTTATGAGAGTTTCCTACTGTTGCAGAACTTGGCAAAATATTTTCAGAGTAAGTATCACTGCTAATTAGTAAAAAAATCAAATTACATTATCCTGGCTCCCACAACAAGTTACCATACGCACAAGTACCCTTGCATAACCTTTGTGTTTTCGTTGTCCTTTATTAGGTTAAAAATGCAGTTTATCTGCACATGGAAGAATACTAGAACAGGCCAGAGCTATTACCATGACGACACAGACTAAGCGTGATAGCTCAGCACAAAAAAAACTGTTCATTTTCCTTTTACTTCTTCTTCTTGTTTGGTGGTTTTTAAAGTTGAGATTTGTTTTCCTAGCATCAGTACTCTCTGGAATGGAACTTTCTGTTTACTTTTTAGTTTTGTCTTTAGCAGTGAAGCTGAAAATGAGTCCCAGATAGAGGCTGAGCTATTAAATGGGTTAGCAGGCTGGTTTTCTGCTGTTTATTTGGAGTCCCAAAGAGGTTTGTGAAATCATTATCCTGAAAAAGGTGGAGCAACTTTACACATTTTGACCCACTGATAACTAGCTTATAATAGGTATTTCTTTTTTGAGACAAGGGTGACTGCCATACTGAAAAAGAAGAAAATACAAACATCCAGTAATGTCTTTTCTTGTCTCAAAGGTCAGCAATGACAGATGGGTATTTAATGAGAAATCCTGTAGTAACTACATCTCTTTTTCTGTACAAGCACAAATAATGAGAATGAAGCATTTAAAAGGTAGAATAAGGGAGTGCAAAAGATGAAACAAAAGCAAAAATTAGGGAATCAATATTTCAGCATTTAATACACATCTCAAGTTTAAAAGCTTACCGCCACATCGTTTCTCTTCTATGCTGCTGGATCGTGCCACAGATATTTCTAGGAAAAATAAGAAAAAGAAAAAAACAAAACCAAACCACCTTAGGCCAGGGGAGGAAAATATTACACAGAACTACTAGTTTGATTAACACAGTAAGTATTTAAAAATTCATTCTATTACATTCCCTCTGAATCCAAAGTAAAAAATATTTTGACTATGTGGTAGAATTAATAAAAAGGTCCCATGACATCTTCAGGTTTCCCAAGCAAAACCAGCAACTTAGTTTTAATTCTTGCCTCAAAACACTCTGGAATTAAAGCGATGAAGTGCACATGAAAACGTTCTTTGTGAAGTTTAAACATGTGGAGAAAGAGTTGATTTTCTGAATAGTAAAATTAATGAGAGTTTAATTAGCTTGTGTTCAAATGGGCTCATTACTTCTGGAAGTCAAGTCTAGCACTAATATGAAAAGCAGAAATTTACAGATCTTAAAAAACAGATGACTGCCAATTTCATGGGTCTCAGTTGTAAGGAATAAAATGCAATTCCAGTCCTTATCCTTACTATTTTGATTTTGGAAACATTCTGAATAAATACTGAATAAAATCTGTTGGCAATCAAGTTTTTCCACTCTTTACTTCCAGACCATGGCTTCTGTGAAGGGAAGTCCTGCCTTATGAACCACTCTCTTGAACCTTTCTGAAAAGGTCAAAGATCATATGGGTATGGGTGGGGTAATTGACACAGTCTACCTGGGTTTCAAAAAACCAAAATTTTAAGTTCTTTGACAATGACTTTCCAAGCAACAGAAGAAATGAGGGAAAAGATAAAACAGGGAAAGCAGAAAAAAATGTCCTAGAAAACCATAATGCTCTGAAAAGTAATGTGATGACTAATTTAAAACACAGCAACAGCAATGAGGAGTCATTTTTGCACTCCACCTGAATCATTGTATGTACTAAGTTCTGCGGAAGAAACAGAGCAAAGGGAAGCAGGAAGTCAAAAAGACAGCATGAGTTTGGTCAGTTTGGTCATGCCAACAACACTAGCTGAGGAAAGGAGGGAGGGGAATTAAAAACAGAAAGAAGGAGAGAGAGAGAGAGAGAGGGAGGAAACCCTTGAACTGGAGGATCTGGATTAATGAAAGCAAACCGAAGAAAGCTAAAGGTGAGAGTAACGGGCATGACCTTATCTGCTGTGTTAATGGCAATTTGAAGAGGAGTGGCAAACAAACCAGAAAGGCAAGAGAAGAGGTGTCTCATTGCAGATTCTGAAAACGCCTATTTCCAAAACAAGATGTAGAGCTTATATTGGATTAAGCTGGGGATTCACAGAATGTGAATATTAACAGTGCTTCAAAACCTTTAGAAAAAGGGGAAAATACAACGTGGGAGTTTTCGCTTCCACACTGACATTTTTCGCATTGGTTTTAGAGGAAAATAGTATCCAGGAGTTAAAGCATTATGCACCATCCAGAAAAAGTGTTTCATTTTGTTGATGTCTTTGTTATATTGTATTATAGTTTAACACATCATCATACAAAAAGAAAAAATGGTTGTTGCACTGAGTAAACACAGTTACATTTCAAATGATACATTAAAATGTAAATTTCTCGGTCTGTGAATAGACCACTAGCTTTTTTTAATGTACACAGGGAGAAAGATGACTGTTAACAGCAGTGCATTGTGACCACCCATACTGTTGTGTGGATTTAAATGATTGCCATGATTTAAAACCAAAAGTACAGTCATGAGTTTCAACAAATGCTATAGAATAATACATAATGTGATTATACATCAGATACTTAGCAGTCATGTGGGAGATAAGGACTGGAGGCAAAGTTAATAGTATTTACCTTTCTAAGCAGATATTTAAGGGACTCTGTGAAATTATTTCCAGATTAACCACCACAGCACCCACTTTTGTATGAGCAAACCACAAAACCTAGAGGAATGTTTCTCTAATAACCCTAGGGTCTCAAAAACACTTAAAATAAAAAGATAACTATTTCTACTTGCTGTCTGTACTCATCCCCTCCTACCAAGTAGACGGGAGGGATCTGCAAAATGCTGTGACAGTGACTAACCAAACTCCCAGGTGGTGACAGTAGGGATAGCTCCACAGTACTGGGTACCAGGGGGCAGATTTCATGTGGACAGCAGTAGGCCAACATGCTTTGGCTGATAAAAGGCAAGTTCTGCTCCAGCTCACAGCTCTGCACAGTGCAGCATGGGGCAGTACTATGCCTCACTCCTGAAACTTTGAGAGGTTCCACTAATCCTTCAAGATGTTGGCTGATCTCACCTGGTATAAAGTTGGAGTCCAGAGTGCAGGCTCGGCTCTCTGTGGTGTTGCCTGTGCACTGGCTGCCCACAGGAAACAAAACGATGCACTGACGGCTGCGGGTCTGGAGGCCAGACGAGTCACAGTCGGACCACTTGGACCACTCAGACCAGTTGTCTGCAAAAGGCAGAGAGGGAGACACAGGCAGATGCTGTGATTAAAGGCTTCAAGTACACCAACTGAGAGAGAAATAGCTTGTATTTCTGAATTATGACAGAAGGTCTCATCCCCAGCTACTACCAGCTAGCAGAGGGCAGCTCTTCATTCTGATACACCAAAAGAAGTTTGGCTTTGGCAAAAGTCTCTGAAATGCAGTGTGATGGTAAATTTGCCACCGATGTATTATGGCTTTGGCTTCTGCCACAGCCTTTGTGTGTGGAAGAGAGAAGCTGGAGGGATTCTGCAGTGGTGACTGAAAGTGTGATTGCTGTGGAATTAATTCCATTCTAGGTCATTATGGTGTAAAAGGATACTGCCTTTTTTTTGCGTACCTGACAAGTAGCAATGAGAGCTATATGAGTGTGCATTCCAGATCTGAAACAAGATGTGTATTTAACCACAAAAATAGTAGTGTCTTGAAGACTTTTAAATTATTTTAATTATTTTAGATTTTTTTTATTTTAATTTTTTTTAGTTCTTGCTATTTCAGGTCCATTTCTTGGCCGCAGGCAGATCTCATCAGGTATTCTCACTTTCTCTTCCCCATCTGGTTTATTGTCAGGTTCTATTTCTTTTCTATATTTCTTGTTCTGCTTATGTAGTTTTGATTAAGACATTTTTATTTCATGCCTGTGTGATCTTAGATATTTCCCTTAAATGAAGTGAATTGATCTCATTCCCATGAGATACTGTGAGTTTACTGCACTCAGCATTCTTACGATTTGAGTACAAGTCTTGCCTTCGTAGGAGTCTTCTGAGTTTGGCAAACATAGTAAAGATAGAGCTCAGTTAAACTGTCTTCTTTCTTCTGCCAGCTTTCCCACAGAGATAGGTTTTATGGTTTTGATATGGAACAAAGACTCCTACAATCCCAAACCAAGTTTGTTTCTGCTTCAAAATTTTAATTGATTTTCATGCCAATATGTAGCAAATTTACGAATTTCATTTTGCTTCAAATAAAAAAGCATATATAGTCTAATTTTGAATAAGTTAGATTGAAAGACCTTAAAACTTGCAAATTCATGAAGTTTTTTTAAACTGTGAATCATCTGGAAAGTCAGGAAAGTTTTACACTCTTTTGGGCCCCTTTCAATACAATGTATAAATACAACATACAAAGTTCATATTTAGTCATTACTTTCCCCTTGTTCACACAGGAGAACTGTCATAGAAAATTTAACAGATGCCAGAAGGAATATTTGAGACTGCAGTCTTGAAAAATATCAAGCAATAGATGTTTATAAAACAGATTTACTTAGCAGTGCAGGTAAGAACTTGGATATTGATATTTTTGAACAATTAGCAACTGTCTGGATGAGGCCTCCTTTGAACAATGGGGCAAATACCTTGACATAATCAGCTTGTAGGTCTTGTTATTGTGAGTTGCAAGAATACCCAGGTCTGTCCTTTGGCTTTTCTGTTTCTTAGGACAGGTCCTAGGAGGGCCTCACTTGCAGAGTGAGTAGTAGGAGAGCAGAGGCAGATGACATACTGTAGCTCAATCCTCATTCAGGGGGGATATGAATGATGAGGTAGGAGTCAAGCAAATGGACAGGCTTCTTCCTGCTTACACAATGTGGCACATCCAAGAGCTGCTGTTATTACCTCCAGTGTCAGCTGCTGGATCTAAGCAAACTAAATATATGGATCCTTAACAATAAATATTGAGTAACAATAAAGCCCAGTTCATTCTAGTTTAAAGGAATGTTGCTCATTACAAGTCTTGGCCTAGTTCTCATTGGTGGCAGAGAGCACATTTAAGCCAAAGCAAGACTCTTGTCCAGTCCTGATATAACTGGGATATATGCAGCAGGTGCCAAAATACTTGTGAGCATCCTAAAAGCAGCTTGTTGGCTGATGCATTCTGCAGCTCCATCTTGTCCAATGTGGTTTTGGCCCACCAGGTTCTTTGCTGAAGGAGCTACATCCCATGATACAATAGGAACTCCAGAGTACACATAGATCATGCAAGGTCACATAGAGGTGACTGGGCAAGGTTACTGTTTTGGCCTGCCCTTTAGGAGACCCATAAAAGACACTATGTGCATATGGACCTTCCCACATACACAACACAGGGCATCTCCCTCCTATCATGAGTTTCACAGTGCAGTCCAGACAATACAGCACAGCTAGTCAGTGAGTCTAGTGCCAAGCTGATCAACTTCATCTGGCACACAGAATCACAGAAGAGGAGAGAGAGAACATCAGTGCAAGCATGAAAGGGATGGACATCCCTGCAATTGTGGATCCTCATACCAAACCTGTGCTTTCAAGAGTGCCACTGTTGGAAGCTCAGAGATCCACAGAGAAGTAAGGCTACCAAGACAGAAAGATGTATGATTTCAAATTGTCAGACCTGCCCTTTGTGGAACCTCTATATCTCTGCCATCACAGGGATGCTGAACCCATGGCTTATGCATGCATTCCTAATGACTCAGTTATCCTGTGCCATCCCTTTGATTTCTTTATTTACACAGTATCTGAGGCTCTCCTGCACCTCAGGCAAGCTCCTCTGAACTTGCTCCTCAGGTCTCTGCAAAAGTCATGAGAACATAAAAGAGAGGGTGGACTGGAAAGGTGTTTAACCTGGAACTGCTTTTCACCTCCAACACAGCAAAATTTACTCATGATACATTACATCTTCCTACAGAGTCTTGGTTGACCTTTGAAGCCAAGTTAAGTTCAATCAGTTCCTGAGAGATCCCTTGGTGAAGGTGGCAACTCAGAAAGATCAAGCGACCAGTCTGTAAGGTTAGAAATTTCTTTCATGGAGAACTACACCATCATTTCTAAATGCTCAACTGCTTTATCAATTATTTGCTTGTGTGAGTTACCAGATCAAGGGCAGAATGCATTTTCCCCTCTTACAAACAGCAGTAAATACTTTAGGTATAAAATACTGTTTTATTCAGTCTGTTACCAACATTGCAACAGATTACACTTACTGATAAACAGCCTATAAACCACTCCTGATCAATACTGCAGTGCTTCCATTCATATTAATGTGACTGCATTTGGATAAATTAAAAGAAAAACCACAAACTCAGTGACAGAGCTTTTAAAATGAAGGATGAGGAAAACTGATGTATTCTGCAGAGATGAATCTGCTTCTTTCTTTTAAGTGCATACTTGGATAGTTCCAGTTGGATTTGCCATTAAACCTCTATATCCTCAAGAAATCCTTAGTATCAGGATTCCAGAAATTTTAGTTTTCAGATAATATTGTTTGCGAAGAAAAAAAAAGTACTATTTCAAATGCCAAAAATATCTTTGCTCTTTTCACATCTTAAGAAATGTTATAAATCATTTCAATTTTTGCACATATGCATTTCTGTGTTGGTTGGTTGTTCTTAGTTTCCAAGTGTCATTACAATTCCCTTCCTACATTAAACATGTCACTTAAGCAGTGAATGTCACCAATGGTACTTTCAGATCTGTACAAGGAAGAACCACTCTTTCACCTGGTCCTTACCATAAGCACAAGTCACTGCAGAGATTCAACAGTCTGTCCAAATTTGACATGTATAGCATTGCAGTTATTTTTGACCCATACCAATGCGAAATAAGAGCAGTAAAAAGTTGTTTTGCAATCTATCTTGTAAATATGAGACAAGGACCATTCTCACAGCTAGCTAATGATGTGCTGTTTCAAAAACCTATGTCAAATTTTCAGTGAGACTGAAATATTAATGAAATATTATGGAATGTGAGAAATAAATTTTAAGCCTCAGAAATTTTACTGTTTTGTAAGGAGTTTCACTTTCTTGAACCAAAATAAAACTGATCTCCCCCTTCATCCCTCATCTACTTCAAAATTTGGGTAACAGGCAGGTCAAAATAAGATGCAGACATTATTTACAAATGTTTGCATACTGTCATTTATCAGAACATGGTGGTAGAAAATAAATTCACAACAACAGAAATAACTACAATGCTAGCACAATGACCTTTTAAAGATGCCTTAAGGATCTCAAGGCAGCTATGTAACTTCTACAGACAAATGCATACTATTTGTCTTGAGAAATCAAATCATCAACTGATTTCTGTGCTTGGGTTTTTTTAAAAAAACACAATACAGAGTATTGCATCTGCTTTAATTTTGACAAAGTGGGTACTTTTATTCTGCTGGAAGACATGCAGTGCCTAGAAAAGGAAATTAACTTAACTTGTAGTTCAGCAGAAGTAATAGGATCCATAAATTCAAACTTGTGGGGCTTATGCCTTCACATGCACAGACTCATCATATGGGCAGAAAACTTTGCTATGAAGTCTAGGAGTGCTAAGCGAAGCAAGTAATACAGTGTGGCATCAGAGCTGCTTCTTTCCTTTTGCTGTTGCCTGTAATCCACTAATCAGCAGTAAATGAAAAAAAATCTTCCCACTGGCTTTTACTAATGATTTTGTCTGGTTTTTATCTCATTTTTTCACTTACATTTCATGAAAAAAAATAATTTCCTTTAATATGGGTCAAAAGGCAGAGTCAAAATTGCAGAAAAAGACATGAGGCATCAGAGCTGCTTCTTTCCTTTTGCTGTTGCCTGTAATCCACTAATCAGCAGTAAATGAAAAAAAATCTTCCCACTGGCTTTTACTAATGATTTTGTCTGGTTTTTATCTCATTTTTTCACTTACATTTCATGAAAAAAAATAATTTCCTTTAATATGGGTCAAAAGGCAGAGTCAAAATTGCAGAAAAAGACATGATCTGTAATACAACTAGCCGGAATGCTGAGACATTTAATTTACTAAGTATTCCATCGTAATTTAAACAGATGAATCTTTGTTCCTTAACATGCAAAACTGAAGAAGATATTTTAGAAATCATGTTAAGGTTTGTCTTGTGTTTTATATGAAAACAGGACAAATATTATTTATTTGAAGGACCTTGTGTTGAACATTGACCTCAGCAATTTGCTTGCTGTGAATATTTAGTGTATAACAAAAGCACTTTGTGATATTGTTATTAAAAGTCTCACAAACCTTTTGCATGATCCACTTCAAATATTACACAATTTTAGTTTGTTCAGACCCAGACCAGGTAACTTAAATTTTAGTTTTTAAAGAGAGAGGGAGGAGGGGGTGTCCTGTAGACTATATCCTGCTAGCACTGATTTACTGTATCATTCTAGCATGTAAGGGCTGATCGTGCACTTAATAAGGGAGAGAAATTATTTGCTTCTAAATAATAGATCAAGGACATTATATTGCCTGACTGTGAGTGCCTTATTCAGTGGCACATAAAGAACAGAGACACACGGGCTCATTTGCCATACCTGGACAGGGCTGTGTGTTGCAGAGTGCTTCTTCAGTGTGCAGACCAAGGCAGATATCTCCTCCATACGCTGGTGCTGGGTTTGTGCAGGAGCGAGTTCTCATGTAATGTCCTCCTCCACAAGTTGCTGAGCACTTTGACCAAGATGACCAACAAGACCAACCTCCATCCACTGAAAAGATGTAAAATAACATATTTTTCTAAGTTAATGTGTGACATGACATAATTCAGCTCATGTTTCTCGTATGCTGTGGATCTAATTCATGGCCTACTGAAATTCTTGGACATTTTTAGGCACCACTGAACATAGGCCCAGAAATTTATTCTTGCCACAATGAAATTTAATTCGCATATTTTAAAAGCTCCTGGTATTCTGGAAAGAATAACCCATCCGTATAGGACATTTTCAGTGGATACTCTGAGATTTTTAAGCCCAAAACTCTTCTGTTTTTCTTTTAATTTTCTTTTCTCACTTTTAAGAAAACAAAATACCAAAGCTTGTTTAGCAGAAATATAATAAACTCAGACTAGTGTTTTATTCATAAAATAAAACTTAGCCCAATAACATGGAGGAATCCTGATTTTGTTTTGTAACTCAGGTGGATTGCCTTAACCCTACAACTCATTTCAAATGATTTCACAGATATCAGCAGGAGAACAATGGCAGAAGTTCAAAAGAGAAATATGCATTATTATTCCCTTCGCCCCCTGCAATTTGTATTTATTAATTCATGTATGTCGAACTGTTCTCCAGTCTGAGTTTTCACAAGATTCTTCCGAAATGTAGGCTGGATTTCATGGGAGACCCATTTGTCAGATGGCTTTACACACATGGTCACTAGACAAGCTTCTAATGAAAGATCACCTCATTGTCTGCACCAGATTGGCTCCTCTGCACCCTCTTTCTTAAAGCCACTGCTCAACAATGTATTTCTGGAATTTATGGCCACATTGCAGCCCATCTGCCAAAGGCTTTCTATCTGCAGCCACATGACAAAGTCAGATAAACTTCTCCCAGGGACAGCATTCCTTCTGCAAAGAATCTCAGTATTTTGTTCATTTGTCTTTCATTTTCTACTTAAATAAATGTGACAAAAACCTAAACTTTCAAAATTTTCATATCCTACCAAAGAAAATAATTTATTTTCAAACCTCTATTTAGAGTGTTATCACTTCCTATCTTAATTCTTAAGTAAGGAAATGATTTACCATGTCTGCAACTGATTGAAATAAGTATTTCAACTGACACCAATAGATGAGCTCCTAAGTATGATAAAGGCCATGTGCCAGTAAATTCGCTTTACAAGAGGGTCCTAAACTGAGCAGAAGTTTCACTCTTTTTTTCCACATCACTTATAGCAGCAGAGGGCATTTTACCAAATAAGACAGAAACTTATCATTGCCCACTTTTAAAAATATTAGGTAAGTATGCTTTTTCTGTACAGTTTTTACAGCAAGCTCATTTAAGACATTCCTTGCAAGACTTTACTTTGTGGTTTGTTGAAACAACTGATTGGCACCGAAATCTCCACAACATCTATCCAGCATTTCACAATGACTCTTTTTCACCTTTTCTGTTCAATTAACGAAACAGCCTTTCAAGGAGTAGTTTCTACTGGTTTACTGAAATGCTGTTCCATGACTATTTCTTACCAAAAAAAAGAGGTTCCAAATTAAAAAAAAAAACCCAAAAACTTCCAATGAAAATATCTGTGCAGTATCTGCATTTAAATTGTCTCTTAGATGGAAATGTAGAGCATTCTAAAAAATATTCATTTTGACTTTGTAGCATTGTATATCACAAACATACTTGGTGAGTCAAGTAGAATGTTTTCTATGCAAAGGCTGCAACAGTGAGAAAATGAGCTAAGAGAATTTTCATATTAAAACCTATACATGCATTTTAAAATTTAATTTCAGATACAGCATAGTTCTCAGTTGCTAATCAAACAGGTAATTCACTAATGCATGCCTAAGGCTATTAACTAATCCTCTAAGCGAAGTTGTTGAATATATAGCATTTTATTCCCTGTACTGTTTGCAACATTATCCTAAACATCAAGAAAGCACGGAGTTGGCACTTCCTTGGTAAGAACTGCAGTTGTAAAAACTTTTGCAAGTAATGTATCTGGACTCTGAATATCCTGATTGGACACACAGGATTTGTAGATTCTGGTGCTATATTCCAAGTATGCAATTTTAATAAATTATTTCCATTATTAAGGAATTCAATGATAGCTACATTTTTTTCCGAGGATATATTTATCAACCAAATCATCTAGCTATACAGATGTATAAGAGAGTTTTATACCACCTATCATAAATAAATACTGCATCTTGGTAGAGTACTTGACTTGTTCTCTTATTCATATTCTTTTTATTCATACTTTTCAGTGGAAAACAAATATGTCTTTTTGCCTCAGATAACTCTGTTTAATGCAGTATTATGCAAGCTCATATCTAGGAAAGCCATAGGTTATTTGTCTTCAGTGCAGGGGAAATATAATGTGCAATTTTATAACAATTTCAAGACATGGTATCTTTTATTCAGAACTTGCCTCTTTTTTTCTTTCTTTTTAACTTTTGTCAAATAAAGGCAGAAGTTGCTATCTGAGCTATTCATTTCATGTGATATTAAAGCTTTACCTTTCTAGATACTTCCTTTTTTATTTTTATATTTTTTTTTAAACTGATTGTTGGCTAGCTCAAATGAATAATCAGAGGCATGCTTGCTGCAGTGTACAGACCTGCAGAATTGATTTTGCCTGAGATTGCCTAGACAGAAGATAAATTGTCTGCAAACATTACCTGTGCATTGTTCACTGTAATAGGGACAATGACCTCCAATACTTTACACTTATTTTTCAGTGGACCAGTGAGAATTACAACGACCATGCATTTGAAACTGCCATCTACCAGAAACCTATAGGTGGCCAAGAACACAGAGACCCAGGAATGTCACCGCATTCCATAATTGCAGTGGTCTTGGTTGTACTGTATAACTTCAGATGTAAAGGGAGAAGTGGGTCTGGGGAAGATGGGAAAGGACAGATATGATATAATAGACAATGTTCAGTTTGATCCTGTTGAGCTGGACAGTGCAATTATAACTGGAGTTTTTAGCAACAATTTACTGACAGAGTGCCATTCCAAATCTCTAGCCTTTCAAGGACTATCATAACTACCTCTTTTCTTTGTCCCCAGAACTTTTTCTTTTCAACAGCAGAAGATGATAAGGAACCATCATGGTTAAATAAGATCAAAGGAGTGGGTATTTACTGCTTGAGTTTTTACAAGACCTAAATAGAACTCTGTGGTTTCTTTCATCTTTCTTTAAGTTGCTTAGCAACACACCACCATTTGTGTGTTTTTTTCTTTTTTCCCCTTTTGTCATGGAATCCTTAATGTTATTTCTGCCTCTTATAGGAAGAAAAATACACAGCTGCAAGAGAAGCTCCAGTCAGTACAGTTTCTTTACATAACAGTTTTGTAGAGCTGTTGGACAAAAGAAAGTTGTTAAAGCAGTTCCACAATGAAAGATTTAAAAAGTCTTTACATTTTCTGACAATTGCTGAGGTTGGTCCCTTTAGGAAGAAGGCACCCTTCAGCTAGCAGAGTGCTCTCAAACAATGCTCTTTCCTTTATAGTGAAGCGAACAACTTTTTGCCAACTGGCTGTTATTGTGGTTAATAAATATTTCTTCACTATAATGACAAAACCCCAGATCATAGGGAAGAGAATGTACTGAGAAGAAACTGTGTACAGAAATGGGACCTCCTGGGGACATGACAAAACATCCACACTACCGGAAAATTTCCATGAGACAATTAAGTAAACTGGATACCCTGCTATGCACTTTGGATTTTACAAGGAAGTGGAAGGAAGCATGGACAGAGACACTGACCTCACCTGCTTACATGAGAACACAGATAGGATTGCAGGCTCTCCACTGTCTGGTCTCATTTCAAATTTAAACAACCAAAAAAAAAATCAAAGAAAATTCTTTTGGAATTCTTTTTGTGCGTGTATGCCTTTAGGTTTATAACTTTTCACACTCAGGCGTTTGAAAGTGTGGCAAAAGAGAATAAAAAATGCTGATAGGTCAGTCTTTTCTATATGCATAAATGAGCATAAATAGAGGGGCAGTAGACCTTTTGATCTGCAGAAATGCAGATGGTGTGCTTTCCAGTGGCTGAGCAAAAGTTAGATCTGGGGACAGTGGATATTGGGCAACCTACAGACCCAAGAGAACACTGCTCTCTCCCAGACATCTGGAGATCATCCCATTTCACATCACTTAGTCTACTTACTGCTTTTTTCCTAATCCTGTTGGACATTGCTGCATGTTTCAGTGTGGGGAAAGAGCAATTTTTACATCACAAGATCCAAGGCAAAGTCTTGTTTCTGTGATGCTACAGATACCTTTATTCATAAAAGCAATGCTGGATGAAACAAACAGTCAACATAATGCAGTGCAGAAACACAGAAGGCAAATGAATGCTTCTAAGGAAAGAACAAAATCTAAGGATCCACTAGGGTTTAAGTCTGTAAATGAGGCTCTTAAGCTAGAAAAGCAACAGTTGCTTCAAAGGACAGTTCATCCCTCTTCTTGCTGGCTACAGAAGCAGCCTAGGGAGATCAATGCATATGGAGAGATGGACTTCAGCAGCCCCAGAGACAAATTAGTGGAGCAATTATTTTCTCCCTGATTTAGGAAGCTAGTGCAGGATAAATTTTGTCCGTTCCTTTAAACACATTCTTGTTTCCTTGTGGCCAAGCATGACTTCAAAGGAAAAAAATAAAGGGGAAAAACCAATAATGGAGAAAAAAACCAATAAGCAATAACTGGCCTTAGGGGATGCATAAATAACTTACATAGTCTTTCAGGGAGTTTTGTGTATCTGAAACTCGTTATTGTTATTAGAAAATTGAGTGATATATGAATTTGGTCAGTTCTTCTCAGCCAAAATGTCACAACTAAACCGAAGTAAAACTACTATAATAAAAATCTGAAATTGGCAAAAAACCAAAATATTGACATGCAGCGTCAGAATGTCGTATCTGAGACAGCAACTGTCCTTTCCTTCTGATCCACCACTCTGCTCTAAGAAGAAGAGGAAACAGGAACTCCTGTAGCTCATGCCACTCAGTGGAGCTCACATAACTCTGCTT